GGCCCCATTCTCAGAGAAACATGGATAGGAACAGAAATGAGTAGCCTCGATCGAGAAATGTGGTAACCACAATACTATAGGTCAATATCCTAATCAAAAATTGCTGTTGCTAATATTATCAATATTATATCATGATCATTTTTACTAACGTCTTACCATGGTTGTGGTATGTGCTAGTTTTTTGATCATGGTCCCATGAAGTCAGCCATATTACCCACGGAGGGCAACGGGAATGATGGTATTTAAGACTCAATGTGTTGGCTTCCAGTGGCTTCCGGTGGCTTGTCGCCTGTGTGACAGGAACATTGAGGGTGGCTCGTATCGATAGCCACGCTCCGCACAATCTGCCAGGATGGGAAGCGGCATCTGGCGCACACGGCTCACGCTTTCGGCCTCGCATGCGCGATGTGGAAGCCCTCCATATGGCCACCCGAAATGGATCACTAAACTAAACCCTGGTTACCTGGGTTCTGGGGTTGAATATTATGGGATTCGTCAACCATCCTACAACCACCTATTATCTTTAAGCTGGTCCATGTCCATGTTCTGCCCTCGTTTTTTGGGTCTTCAGTCTCTTCAGTTCTCAAGCTTTCGCCGAAGGATCCAATGCCTGGGATCTTGCCGGAAACCAATGGATTTCAGGGTTCCCAAGGTTCAGGACACATGCGGAATTTGGTTAACCACAGGTGGTGAGTGATGGATTATTCCACCAAGATTTTGTTTTACCAGAAACAAGAAACAGGTATGTCATGGTATGTCTGGAAATAGGGTTAGGCTAGTACTGTGCCAAGCTGGTGGGAAGTTGTGAGAATGCACATTGATTAACCATCAATGTGTGTTGGTTCTTCCGAAGAATGTCAGGTACCAAACCCAGCAATCAGTCAGCACCACAACATCACCAGTGGTCCGTCGATCAACTGCAGCTAAAAAGCGGGGCAGTAGTGCTGAATGTACTCACCAGCTACACAGTCCTGAAAACCCGCTTTTGAAGACTGGGGGACTGTTGGGGATGTGACCCACCAGGAGTAGATTGGATCAGATATTGGGGCGGAACATGCCCGAAACCAGTCGCGGATGGCACAAACGCTGGGTCGTCTTTAAATCAGAACATCCACTTTCAACCAGCAATCCTCTTGACCAATATCCACTTGTATATTGCGGAAAGGAGGATGCACATGGATCGAAAGCGGCTTCACCGATGTTTGTCTCCCGCATCCCACTTTCGCACGTGCTTGCACTGAAAAAGAGTTATGTTTCTTGGCAAGACTATCAAAGTATCACAAGACATAAACGATCTGATCTGATCTGATGGGGATATATATATATTATAATATTATATATATACCATTATATACCATACTATTATACTGTATGTGCACATAATCATGTGATATAACATGATATAACCTACATGCAATCATATGTACATATGATATAGTACTGTAACCAACAAAAATGGAAACGCAATAAATGGATGCATGACCAAGGGTGTTTCTCTCCATTACAATGTAAAAACCTTCCCGGATCATCCCCATGGCCCATAACTGTTATGGTTTCTGAATGTGTCTTATGATTATGGGGATGATAATGGATTATAGGAAGATTCCATTGTTCCATATCATCCTCACAATCGATTTTTTGTGGGGAGTGTTCCTTCTTATCATGTCATCGTTATGTATCCTTCTGGCTGAATCGCAAACTTCGTAATTTGGGTGGGTCTGCTTCCTGACCAGCTTGCTGACGGCGTGAGGTTGTTAATGGTTGTTACAATGCATCCAGATGATCGGTATATTGCTGGTGTCATCTCTCAATCTCTGGTACTTCTGATTGGGTCTGTCGGAGAATGATGGAATCATCATGTTACGGGTGAATCATTGATCATCAGTGGCTATGATGGCCATAACAGGGGTTTCTATCCCCCACTTGCCCCAGGTTCACATCCGCCCAGGGATGGCTCCCAAGTCCTTGGCATATCCCGTATCTCTCATGGCGCTGTGCACGGTCAATGGATAGGGTGGCCCATCCTCCTGCCAGCTGTCAACCCATCCCAGAGATATTTCGGCAACCTCCCGCAGCATCGGTCACCATGATACTATGGTTGCCAAAATGTACAGAAAACGTCGCAGCGTCAATCATTTTGAGCTCATCTCATGTGCTGCTTTCACACTTTCCATGGGACCCCCCTAAAAGATTGCACCCAAAGCAGGTGAAAAACGACTTTCAAGCAGATTTCCCACCTGCGAGGCATCTTCCAAATAGCAGCCATAGTTGGGAGCGTAGAGCCAGTACTGACATCTGATATCAGAGTAGCACATGTTTTTGCAAAAGACGATGGCATCTTCCTGTTTCCTCAGCTGCCAAGAGGTCACAGTATAAAACTGTGTTCTCAAAAATATTGGAATGTTTAGTTTTGCCCAGATGTTATCGAACGTTATACTATATACTGTTATAAAATGTTATAAATGATGTTTCTCCTATAATTTCCACTTCCAACCTTTCTATTTTGGGGCGTGCTTCAGTAAGATTGTTGAAAAATGACTAGCTCTGAGAGGTGACTGAGCGACACCAACAAAACCATTGATGATCAATTCCCAACGAAATCCCCTTGGAATCTGAACACATCAGAATATTCAGTAAAATCGACTCGCCTGAAAACTGGGTAACCCAGAATCCTATGGTTGATAGTTGATCATAATTTTCCTAACCAAATTGGCCTTTTGGCTATGCTGCTATACCCTATGTGTGGTCGAGGCACTGAAAGAAGCCTTCGGCGTTGTCAAAGCCCTTGGTTAAGCCTAAGAGCCAAGCATTGTGTTTTCCGATCCCCGGCAGCCACCCTGGTGGGTTCAATATGAGAGTCCACAATGCAGCCCTGAAACCTAAGATATGATGCAGAAATTGTATGTTAAAGCAGGAAAATCATCTTTCAAACCCTTTCTTTGGGGTTCCATGTTGGTTTTTCATGGAAATCTAAACCCATTATATAATTAAATATAAGCCTGGCAGTGCAAGTAGATAAGACCTTTAATCAAGAGGGGCCACAATTGGTCACAGTTCAAGTTTCAGTCCTGAGTCTTGCCCTAAGCCGTCGACTTTCCTCCTCAAATTTACCATCAACTATTGGACTATATTGGACTTGGCGTGTCCAAACACGTCTATTCTATTGAAACCATCCAAACACCACCCCCATTGAACTCCCAAAGACGTTGATCCCCATCTACCATCTACATTCATCTACCCATCCCATGAAATTCCCAAGATGTTCATACCATCCGCTTCCCTTCGCCAGGTGGCCTTTGATCTGATACCCCGTGAGATCCTTCAGGACACGGATGGAGCCATGCTGCAGTCGCTGCGCCGAACGAGGCACAAAGTTGCTGCGCACGAAGCAGTCCTGAAAAAAACGGCGCCATGGTCCATGGTGGCAACGAAACAAATGGGGCCAACAAAAATGACAAAAATATGGCGAAAAGGGTAGGTCTAAAATGGGATGAAGTGAGAAACTTAGGTTTCCAAATCGGGTGAACTCAGAATGTTATATTATCAGTGTATAAATGGGAGGAAGTCAGAAACAGAGGTCCAATATGGTTGGAAGTGGAAAAACAAAGTCCACCATCTTTGGTCACTACTAAGATTCTGTGTTTCGTGGAGGGCGAGTACCTTCAACATCATCAGTTTCTACGTTGGTGGATGACTTGGTTGTCCAAGCAAGTTATAGAAACTTTGTTGATTGGCTATTGCCATTATTGCCAGGTATACGGAAATCAATGCTGGGAATGTTCTGACTAGTAAGTTAAAGGCATTGTTTTGGGCTTCTATCACAGCTATGGCTGGGGACTGAAAACCTCGGGTCCTTTCCAAGTCCCTGCCAGCAGCTGTAGTAGACCGTGTTTTGCCACGACTGACAGCTAGGGTTTGACCGGCAATCCCGACCTCAGCTGAAGGTGCACATAGCACAAAGCCCAATCGTCACGGGAATGATTCCTTCGCACTGAGAGCCCTGGCCACAATCTGTGCCGTTCACACCCTTGATTTCCTTAGATGCAACAGCAGTGGCAAGAATAGGTGACAGGGGGTTCCCACTGGTGAAGCAGGGTCAAACGCTACTGGTCACCAAAGCATCAACGGCATTTCAAAAGATTTCACTGTGAAGAACACGAGCTTGGTAGATCTGCGAGCTCCGTAAAACCCGGCATAGCCTTTTGAAGCTGAAGGAGCCAATGATCCAATGATGGTCCCTGGGGCCAAGGTACTACAAGACCTCTGCATTTTCCAGGCCAGCCATCCGTAGTGTCTTCTAGGACATTGATCTGGCACGGCAAGCTCAACACTGGTCTAAATATGATCAAATCAGAGGTTTCCGAAGTCATGGGCCCATGGGGGTACCCCCAAATCCTCCATATTTTCGGATTTTCCAAGAAAAAAACATAAAAAACACCATCCAGCTAATGGGGTACCCCCACCTCAGTGCAGGCCAAAGGTGCACCATCCCAGCGTTTGGGCCAACATTCCAAGTTGTAGGGCTGCTTGCCACCTGGAAAGATATTGGGGTGAAACTCAATGGTTAAACCTAGAAAATTGGAGTTTGTATACACCACTATGATTTGTAAGAACCTCCCCATAATCCCATACTCGTGCGGGTGAAATCACCAATTCTGTTCTCTGAATTCCCTTATCAGCTAAATCGCGATGCAAACATCGGAAAAAAACGAACTTTTGGCTGGAAAGAGAATGCAAAATCAATTTGGGCTGGAAAAAAAACATGTTTTGCCGTGAAAAGTCCAAGCCCAACGAATCTGCAAACCGCACCTGGCCACGCCAGGTCGGAGGACTTGCCGCTGTAGCCCGGGAAGCCGTTGCCCGGGATTTCAGTGCGACACCTGGGATTGCACTTACCATGACAACTTGGGATTTAACGACCAAGAATGGAGATGGATGAGACACCATGATCCACCGATCCTGCAGTTCTCAGACCAAAGTCACCTGGGTGGCAGTGTCATCGCTTCTGGCTCACAGCTCTTATAGCCTGTCCAAAGATCCCCAAAGCTGCTGATTGGTTCACTGGGAATTCCCATGTTGGATTATAACAGCCTCAAAAAAGCAATTAGTGTAACTCCATAACACCAACCACCAGAGATAATGAACACTGCTTGCACATGACGAGTTTCATATAGTTTCACTATCTTCAACTCCGTGCAGGACCAGTTCTAACTAGTCCCTGACCTGCTTCTAGTTCGGTACTCCAGTCACCAGCTTAATTGTTCAATGAGAAACCCAATCTGCAACTCAATTTCTGCTTCGCTATGGTGCCAGCCAGCCCACGAGTTCTGTGGTATCAGCAAGATTTCTTCCAGGGTGAGCATTTCACGCAGGGTGAAGCATGGTTCACTTTTGGACGAAATCCATTCCCAAGCGATGTGCAATTCGCAATACTAATACTGCCTGATTCCATGTTGTGACTGTGAGGCTGACGTCTCAAAATGAATTGCTTTCATCGATACACAAACTTCCAGCACTCAGCGCCCTTCCTGCAATGAGATATGGTGATCCAGAAGGAATCTCCACTGCATTTTCATCCTTGAGAGAAGCGATGCGAAGAAGCTGAAATCTGCAGCAGGTTCCACTGAGGTCCGCACCGCAAACCAACCTTAATTGACTTCCGACGCACTGAGTGACTACGATGAAGTCCCGATAAACCCCAGTAGAACCAACAATAAGCCCAGAGTCATGAACAGCAACAGCTCGCATGGCGTTTTGGTAATTCGTAAAGTATGTCTGATCAACAGATGATCAACTTCGAAACCTTCAAGCCTTTTCATTCATTTCTGAATGATCAAATGTTCCGCGTCAAAAAACGTCGAAACCCTAAGGATTTTTGAGGCCTAGAGACATTCGCCCCAAAAGGCCTTGTAAACAAAGCGCACGCAGCCAGGCACCTGATGAAAAATCAAACAGGTGGGTCCCAGGGCAGACACCTGGTATAGCACTGAGCCCGGCCACGATGTTTGGCTCATGTGTTTTATATGATCCATACTGATAAGATCTCAGAAGATCTCAGCAGATCTTGCCATAAGGTTTGATGTGATTTGATATATTTTGATGATCTGATAAATTCTGATAAGATCTGCTAAGATCTGATCAGCTCTGATAAGATCTGATAAGCCTATAGATGGAACTCTGTTTCATGCTGCCCATTAGTTGAATCTGCCTGGAGCATCAAAATTTCGACGGCCCGATCATTTGAATTGCCAAGTTACATACTGACAATGCTCTTGACACAGCCTCAGCAAGGACAGTAGTCTGTTTTGCACTGCACACCTAGGATCACAACAAAAAACAACAGCAAAACATGCATCGAGAATCAACCTGACGACGACAACGATTCCAAAACGATTCTATCCAAGAGCTATCTCCAACCTGCCAAGAACATACAGTCTCTGATCAGCAAGAGAGAGAGAGAGCTTGAGAGCTTGAGAGCTTGAGAGCTTGAGAGCTTGACACACTATGTAGCCGGAAAGCTTTAGACTTGTGGTGTTGATGTTGGTGTTTGGAATGTAGTAATCCATCTCGTATCCTGTCCAAGTGACAGCTGGAAAGCGTTCAGCTACAGAAATCACACAGAAATCAACGGCACCAGCCTCGAGAGAAACAGCCCAACGGGCTGCTCTTCATAAAGTCTACATCGTTTGTGGTCTGCGAGTAGGAGATCGTCACCTTTTTTGCGCGATTTTTCACAGACCCATCCCCATACGCCATATTAATCCAGGTTGCTATTGGGGAAATCCAGCATGAAACTTTTTGCCGGCATGAAACCTCACTCAGCAAAAGCAGCAGCACCAGCGCGCGCATGGCGCTCTTTTTCTTTGATTCGCCCAGACCTTTCAAAGGCGGTGCTTGCAGCTGGTGCACATTCAGTAGATGTGAAGATGAACAGCAAAAAAGGAACAGAAATCCTGAAAACCTTGACAAATGACATTCCCTATACATAATGATAATTATAACATGTTCATATCATTCATATATACATAATTACATATTAGGAAACACTCTCTTGGACACGCTGCAAAAATCATGGCAGGAGGTAATCGCAGATCGTCCTCAACTTCAAACCTGGTCAAAGTATTGACCCGATTAAAACAGAGAAATGTTGAACGATTTAATCCGTCCCCAGTCGTTTTCAACTGCAGTAAAGTCAAGCGACTCCCTGGGCAGTATCCCAAGTTCGCCTGCGTGCTGACCACATGGCTTCATGCTGTGGAAAGAGTGAACATGGACAGTATAACTTGTATATGACTTAGCAAAACAGGCAGAAGCACAGAAGCAGCAACAATAGACATATGTACATAAAAGAAAAAAACACATTGTTCTTACTGCACATGAAGGATTGGGTTATATAAGTATATATCAGTTATCTATGGAAACATTGGATATTCAAGCAGAAAAACGTAAGCTATGACGATCCACTAAGATATCGTTCACCAAATCTTTCGCCAAAAAAGAACTTTCGCGAACTCGGAAAATCACTTTCGTGGGGCATCATGTTGTAACATTGGCGCCTGAAAACCCCTATATGGACCTTTAGATCGACTTCCACATATGCGAACTTGTATAATGATGTATAATGTGTGTATATATGTCCCAAACATGTTTATGCCCCTTACTTGTCACCAACCCTTTGATTCGTGTCTTGGAGGCGAAAACAACACACATCCATCCCATCTCCACTATGGGCTGCCTCGCCGGCGGTGCAAAAGAATCTCAAAGTCCATACATTGCAGCTGGAGCCCAAACAGCAATCGAATCAACTTCCACAGGCCCTGCAGTTGGAAACCCGGAGACCTGAGACGAAAACCTGAAAGCCTGAAAGTATTGCTGAAAATTTGGGGCTTGTCATCTGAGATTGGGCATGGAAAAGCGAGCGATACCTGATATCTGGGTCTGAAACCAACAAATTATATATATATACTGGGGTAAAAGTAGATGGCTCAACTCAAAAACCAAAATACCCATAAGATGGCACCGCGCGCTGAGAAAGAAAACGGCGCTATTTTAGCTGGAACATAAAACGAGGTCCGCCAATTGAAGAAAAAATCGCCCTACTTTAAAATGAAAAGGTAGATGGCGCAACTGCCACTCCAGTAGATGGATATAAGGGTATTGTTAACTAAATTTACTACATTTCCTATCATTTTTGCTTGTATATACGGTGAAATTGCACGAATTTGTATTGTATAAAATGAGTTGCGCCATCTATGTCCCTTAAATCCCATTCAAACGCCAGAATCATTTTTTCGGTGAATTCAAAAATGAATTGCGCCATCTACGTCCCTTAAATCGTATACAAATCTTTCAAAATTTCAGTGCCACGCCTTAAAAATGAACCACTGAAGGTTTTAAAACTGATTGTGGACAGAATGGATGGATGTAAATTTCATTGTTCAACATATTTTGACAAACATATATTGGAAAAACACTTTTAAAAATTCATTGCCACACCTTGAAGATGAGTTGCGCCATCCATGTCCCTTAAATCCCATTCAAACGCCAGAAAATTATTTTCGATGGGTTCAAAAATGAGTTGCGCCATCTATGTCCCTTAAATCGCAGTCAAATTTTCGAACAAATTCATTGCAATACCTTGAAAATGAACCACTGAATGTTTTAAAACTGATTGTAGACAGAATTTTATGGATAGAAATGCTAGAAATCTCATCTTTCAACATATTTTGACAAAAATATATTGAAAAAAACTTTTACAATTGCATTGCAATACCTTGAAAATGAGTTGCGCCATTTATGTCCCTTAAACCCCATTCAAACACCCGAAATTTCTTTTTCGATGGGTTCAAAAATGAGTTGCGCCATCTATGTCCCTTAAATCGCAGTCAAATCTTCGAACAAATTCATTGCAATACCTTGTAAATGAACCACTGAATGTTTGAAAACTCATTGTGGACAGAATTTTATGGATAGAAATGATAGAAATCTCATCTTTCAACATATTTTGATGTGGCATATTTTGGTTGGGTTGGTTCATGGATGTCGGGAGATATGAGGGAGTTGCGCCATCTATGTGGGCATTTGCAGCCTGATTTTGGCGAATGAGTGGGAGTTGCGCCATCTATGTCCCTAAAAATGACAATTTTTTTTCAATCTTCTGCACTGGTTTCTCCCCATGTTGTTTCTCAACATCAAGCTGCCTTTTTGGGACATAGATGGCGCAACTCCCACTCATTCGCCAAAATCAGGCTGGGAATGTCACATAGATGGCGCAACTCCCTCATATCTCCCGACATCAATAAACCAACCTAACCAAAATATGCCACATCGATCAGAGTCCTTGGGATAACTCTGATCGATGTAGCATATTTTGGTTAGGTTGGTTGATGGATGTCGGGAGATATGAGGGAGTTGCGCCATCTATGCGTGCATTTGCAACCTGATTTTGGCGAATGAGTGGGAGTTGCGCCATCTATGTCCCTGAAAATGACCTATTTTTTGCAATCGTCTACGCTCTGGCAATTTGCCACTTTGCTTGGCCCCGGAAAACGGACCCCACCAAGTCCCCCGAAAAAGAATTTTTTCCTGAGTTTCCCAAAGGAAACTTGACACTTGGTGGGGTCCGTTTTCCGGGGCGAACCCAAGTGGAAAATTTGCACTGCGCTGGTTTCCCCCCATTTTCTTTCTCAACATCAAGCTGCCTTTTTGGGACATAGATGGCGCAACTCCCACTCATTCGCCAAAATCAGGCTGGGAATGCCCACATAGATGGCGCAACTCCCTCATATCTCCCGACATCCATCAACCAACCTAACCAAAATATGCCACATCGATCAGAGTTTTCCCAAGACAGGAGGCAGTTGCGCCATCTATGTCCCAAAAAGGACAACTCTGATGTCTTTCCTGGTGGTTTTGCTTCCTGTCTTGGGATAGCTCTGATGTCTTTCCTGGTGGTTTTGCCTCCTGTCTTGGGACAGCTCTGATGTCTTTCCTGGTGGTT